CGCTTAAATCTTCGAGAACAAGCAGGAAATTCAGATTAGATTTCTAGAAAGAAGTTGATGCATCGACAGTATACGATTTTATCAGCGCTATATAGCTACAATAATGACCAATCAAAAAAGGTAAACACCGTTTTGTAGGCTATAAGAGAACATTTGATACTATAAATAATTCTTCCTTGTGACAAAACGATATCAATAAGAAACATCTGCTACATCGCTAAAGAATCTTGGCTCTGATGGTTGCAAAGACTGAGTTGAGATTAGAATTGGTAAGGTTTTGAACCCTTGGCTGTACTCACTATTTATTGTCAACATTTACTCTTAAGAAAATGGGCTGAAGAAGTTATTTGGGACAGCACACGTGAATCAATTATGAAACATCAACGCAGATATTTTTGTTATTCTTTTAAAATCAAAGATTCAGCATCTCTGATTTCATCAACCATAGATTTCATCAATGGTGATAGGCTGTGCCACACGAACGGCTGAGTAAAAAATGGGCGATGGCATTTTCCATCAAGAAGACGCAATCTATAACAGAATAGAGTCACTCATTTCGGATCACGGATACTTTGTTTTTGGACTCTGTTTTCGTCTAATTCCATTGCAGTGAAAACTGCAGAGAAAGACAGAGGACGAATCCCCTACGTTCGCGAATCATTGACAGTCGGTCTCATGCCTTTTCTCAGTAAAGAACTCATCTATATATCTACTTGGAAAAATATATTTTTCTAGATTGTTTTGAATCCATTGAATATATTCTCTTTTTTTTCAGGTTGATGTCAATATAAATTGATAACACACCTCGTACACTCTGAGAACGAACAAGACAGGAACATGGAAGTGGTGGCAGCGACGCCTAATAGCGGAGGAGTGCCTCCATTTCGAGACCACGACGTGCGCGAGTGGTCAAGGATTGACAGTATCACCGGAGCTCTGGAACGAGCAAGGATCGAGACCGATCACTGGTCAGCGAATACGATCAACTCTTCACATAAATACGGAAAGGTGAGTTAATGAAACCATTTAGAAAGTATTTTACGAACGATCTTCGTGAGACCTGAAAGCGTTAAATGAATCTGCGCCCCATCAGAGGAGAACATTCTATTATTTAGTCATCATGAGTAGGAACTATTGAAACTATCGAACATCAGAGTCAAACTATCAAAGAAAGGCTTTCCATGATATGATGATTCTGACCAAAAAGTAATGAAAACTTCTTGAGTGCTCCATAGGAATTATTCTGCAAATTTTGTAGACCTATTATAAATTTTTTCAAAGCGTATTGGATAGTCGCAACATAATTATAAGCGGTGACCTAACAGTAGTACAGAGTATATTGAACATATAATAGAATTTCTCATTCTTCCTGTGGTGTTTGTGTTTTGTTCTTAAAACAAACATCAAATCTTATCCGTGTAAGGATTTGAGGAGAGTTGACTGAAACCTTCAATATATTTTTATAGTTATTTTTCTCGAATGTGTTTCTAAAATTCACTCACTTTGATAAATGTGAAATTTATCTTCCTTAAGACTCCAAACGTTTATGTCATCGAAAGCTTTCGAATTAAAATAACATAATTCAAAATAATGGTTATTGTTACAGTTTGAGTAAATTCCATAATTTCATGTTTGAACTTCTTCGAAAGGTCTCAATTGAAGACATATAAATTCTTTGTAAAAAAATGCTTTTTGGTTTCCTACTTTTCACTACAATAAAAATTATTCATGAAGATATGTAGATCATATATATTGTCATCATGACAAAAGTAGAGTTGTCTCATCCGATGACATCAAGTCGTAATGTCATGAAAGAAATAAGTACTTTGTCTTGTGTGATGGTATCGAATACTGTGAAGCTGATGTGATGAGACAAGTGTCTTATCACACCACCCGAAACTTCGAAGTACACAATCGATAATGGTAATCTGTTTGAAAAAAATCTGTTTTTCCGTTAACCAGCTGTCACACCCCTACGAACGACAACCCTCANTGTCTTATCACACCACCCGAAACTTCGAAGTACACAATCGATAATGGTAATCTGTTTGAAAAAAATCTGTTTTTCCGTTAACCAGCTGTCACACCCCTACGAACGACAACCCTCAGATGTCGAAACTTGTGCGAGCTAAGGATTAACGAGGTCTTACCTTTTAACGTGTGATTCCTAACACGAGTTAGACGATAGCAAGTAATTCAAGTGAGTGAACAAAGCACCCACGTCGAACTGCCTGGCTACCAACCGGCCGTTCTATATGAGTAAAATTTTATATGAATACTCTGTCATACATTATGTTGGGTAGCGTTTCTATGAATGACAACAAAATTCCATAAATAATGTTACGGAATTATGATTAGGAAAAGCGATTTTTTAAGCACATTTAATGTGTATGAGTACTTGTTCCGAAAGAACTTTCTCCTTTGGATAATTTAATGTCCATGTGAAAGTATTTATTTCGAAAACGTTTTTTCTTTCATCTGAAAGAAACTTCTGTGCAATATCGATATATAGCGGATGTTTTTTAAACATGCGGCAAAAATTAAGGGACTATTCCTTGGACTATTCTGAGGATATTTTGTTCCTTGATGATTTTTGATAGGGAGCTTTGTTTCGAATATACATGGCGAAAAATGATTTCAACAGTAACAGTTTTGGTAATTTTAAAATTATTAACGTAGCCGAAATAAAAGTATAGCATACTACACCACCAAGTAATAAAAAATATAACTATTCTATTGGTACCTATCAACAACATTCCGATTACTACAAACGGCTGCAGACATTCAATTTGAATAGTATGTCTCGTAAGTGATCCTGCTGTTTTTGAAAGAGTTCGGGAGTCGATGAGGACACAGCATAGGTAACAATCAGGATGGACACTTGGCCACGCCACCTTTGATGTGGAAAAGTATATAGACGCCAGTTTGAGAAGTGACGATAAGAGGGCAGGACTCGCGAAATGGTTTTGGACAGGTTCGCACTCAAACTTTGTTACATCCAAAATGCTCATATAATTTTGATATACCTTACGGAACGGATCCAAATTCAATTGATATAATAATTCTTGTGCAGATATTACATGATTTTTTCAAAAAATGTCAAAACAGCCGAATTATTTCTAAAATCACCAGTTGGAATACAATGGTTTAATCAACTGGAATATGAAGGAGAAATCGTCCAGCAATCAACTTTTTGGTATAAACTTTATGATCTACCTCTCTTAAAATAAATGTGATTTTGTATATTACTAATTAACCTTTCAGTTGAATTGCTTGTTCTTTATTATAAGAATTGACGTTCTCCTTGCATTTTAGAACGAAGTCTTCTTCAACATGAATGTATTTTTTTTATATACATAGGTAAGTTCTATCCAAACATCAACTCACTTTTGTTACTCTAATCTTTTTATTCTTTTTTAGTAATACCTTCACAGAACGTTTTTTACCCTCCTGACATGTCAATATCATGGTGATTATTATATAAGGAAAATACTAGAAATACAAATTGTTCATTTTAAAACATTTATTTGTGTCTCCAAATTATTATTTTATTCTTCCTTCTTTTTTTGGCAATATTTTTCTGAGATTTGAAATTCCTATTTATATATTTTAATGTATAAAATAATCTTACTCTACTATATAACTTCAAAAGGTGAGATATTGGCAAATTTTCACATGGATGGTTATAATTGAATTGTTCAAACAATGATACAAATCCTGCAATGACATTTGTTCCTACAATAAGATTCCCAAAATTGCTTTGGAAGTTTACTTCCAAGGAGGGAATAAAATAAACAAATTCATTTTTGGACATCCTTAAGTTACCGAATGTGTCAAGAGTTCCATTTTGAAATGCTCTGAAATAACAGTACAGAGATTCGTTATTTAGTTCACAATTTGTTTTGGAATAGCTCACACAAATGTCACAACCATGAATTTTCAGTAATTTATTTATCAAGTATCCGCAAATATATTTCATAACATTTTGCTGGAGCACATCACTGGTTCTATAATCAGTGTCCAGTACTGCAAGCTTACCAGACACAATAGATTTTGTGTGGAAAACAGCATACTCGTGATCTGAGAAAGTAGAGCTGATAGATCCTTTTAATGTGGGAAATATCGTAGGCACAGCATTCGGATGAAGTCTGTTTCTGAGGTCATTACAAAAAAGTATTTAGTTTCAAAAAGTCCTCCACAAATATGATATCCCCTATGTAGTCTTTCAGGTTTATCAGTTGAATCGTCTCGTCCACATGCCATTGCCCAAATTCGAACCCTAAAATTAATTAATTTTTCTAATAAAATCCCATATTGTTGATTGGCAAATATATTATTGGTGCACGTTAGAAATGAAATTTCTTTATTCAAAGAAATAGGGGTCTATAAATTTGTAAATGGGTATGAAAAATATATTTCTCTCACAACACCTCCTGTGAAAAGCATTATTTGAGAGATTATATNCGAGAAACCGAACAGGGCAATGTTACAGATGCCAAAAGTTCGGTCACACGCAACGCAACTGTAAAGCAGTTCCAGCCTGCGTCAGATGTGCCGGACGGCACATGACCAAGGAATGCAAAAAACCTAAAAACAGACAGACCACAAACCCAAGGCCTGTCGGAAGAAACACAATCAGGAACGACGTCTCGTACGCGAAGGCCGTCTCATCGTCAGAGAACGCCTGCAGCTCTCCCGAAGGTCTCCCATTGGCCTTAGGACAGCTGCAGGCGCTTCTAGTGAAGTTTCCGGTACTACAATCCATGCTTGCCGGAAAATAAAACGACAAATAGTGCCTAAACGGCCGCAAAGCCAAAGAAGTACGCTGCGACTTCCATACACAGGGCCAAAAGCCGACAGAGGACCATGCAATCCCCTGCCGCCCCGCCACAGGAACCCAAGAGAAACTCAAACCGCCGAAAGGATAAGGGGCCAAAGGCCCATAAATCTGACTGAAATAAGATAACGAGCGAACTTCTCCCGCCAAGCGAAGTGACATTGCTGATTGTTACATATGCTGTGACGAGACTGAGTTCTGATATTGTTTGCCAATAATTCAAAGAAGAAGAGGCAAGGCAACTACGTTTTTAGTTTTTTTGGCACCAGTGTACACCATTGGTAATGGTTGTAAAATAATGAAATATGAATTTTCGAAAAGCATGGTTAAAATCTTTATTGCTCCGTTACTTCGTACAGTTAACAACGCTAGAACTTCTTTCAAGAAATATAACTATGTTGATAAGCTGACATCTGTTATGGCTGAATCTGTGAAATCACCAGCTATGGCAAATTCATTAAATTTGAATACATTGGCTGCTTCAAAGGGTACTGAAGTAAATAGGATAGTATGGATAGATATGGAGGTAATTTAAAGTATTTAATAAAGTAAATAATAGTCATTATCTTAATTTATTCTTTGTATTCACTAGTCATATTCACTTGCTAATAATATAAACTTTCATATTCTAAATACCTAGTAGCCACTTGCAGGTTGAATTCATATTATCAATAACTGCCTGGTGCCTGGTCCATGAAAAAAATAGTCATCTATTACTTGACTTTTTACCTAAGTGTCCATTGAAATGTTAGTGTACATTGAAATTTAGGGTTGATATGTGCAATATTTCTATGTCGCAACTATTAATAAGTCATAAGCAGTTGGATCATGAATTTTCAGTGACATTTTTGCACTACCAGAGATGATATAATATGGGCAGTTTTGTTCTGAGTGTTTTATTGAGCATAATTTGTGCTGGAGATATTTGAAATTGTTTGAGGGGTATATCTCGGTATTCCATTACATAAATTTCTGTACGTAGTTCGTTAGCCTTCCTCAACATGTTTCGTGCAATTTGGACGGCTCTTTCTGCTAACCCATTTGATTGTGGGTATATTAAGGAACTTGTTAATTTTATATTGTTTCCTTTGGCAAATAAATGAAACTGATAACTATTGAACAACATATTATCTGATACCAGCTCTTCGGGTACACCGTTTCTAGCAAATATTTCTTTCAATTGGGTTATTACACACAACTCAGTTTTACCATTTAATTCCTTGATTTCCAACCAGTCAAAGAAGTAATCTATTAGTACTAAATAATTCACACCTCCAAATTCCAATATATCAGTTGCAACTTTCTTCCAAGCTCTATTAAGAACTTTGTGTGAAATGAGTGTTTCTTTTCTATTTTATTTCGAAATATGTTACAAATTTTACATGAATCTGAATGAACAAAAGCTACAATTCGATCAGCACGTTTTCTAGTGGAACTGAAGGGGGCAGCATGCTGTTTTCCTTTTGTACATGCTGAACATGAATTGCTTAATTTCGTATCATAACTTGTACCAGTTGCACATCCCTTTTTGAGTTTTTTCATGGCTTCTTCATTCAGATAGCCAAGTCTGCGGTGCCACAAATCCAGGATGTTTTCGTTTTTAGGATATGTTGAAGGAGGAGTCTATTTAAAGAAACCGACACCAGTCGACATCAGATTAGAAATACAGACGTTTTTCGTTCTACTACAAGATGAACTGTAATTGAATTTCAATAAGAAATAGTAGATAGATTTATTTTGTGCATAGCTCAAAATAAAACATTTGTTGAACATCTGCAGCGAATTTAAGCTTTTTGAAATCATTTCATTTCATTTTCTTATTCAAGCATTGGATAAAAAGGTCGTTATTGCTTTGATTTTATCGATTTCAGAATTAATTCTAAATATTTAAAATGATATGTCGAATCATCGCAAATTTAATAACTCAATTAAAATCCTTATTTACACTAAAATTTTCAACTTTAGGTACACAGGAACAACAAACTAGACTAGATTTTCTCAGGCAGGAATGAGGTTGTCATAAATATTATTTACTTGAAAAAAAAAAACTGTGGCTTTCCGTGTTTTCTGTTTTTTCGTCAACCAGCTGTCGGCTCCCTCCTACGTCTTTCCTAGGGGGAGGGCGAAGTAATTTGAACGAGCAACGCCCCCCTCCCCCTACTAACGACAACTCTCAGAGGTCGAAACTTGCAAGCTGAGGATTACCGATGTCTTACCTTTTATCGTGCGATTCTTAGCATACATAACTTAACGTGCGTTTTCACAAGATGTGTTCCACGATCATGATTATTTATTTCATATAAAAATTACATACATAAAACTTTAATTCAAATTCAATTATTTCCTGATGCCACTTTGATTTATATACATAGTAGGACATTCATTGAAAGATATTGAAAATGTACAGAGAGATAAATTTGGAAAAATAGTTGATTGAAACTCAACCCCACTAGATAAAAAATCGTGATTAGAATAGGTCAGTGCAGATCAAAGTATATTCATTAAAAATGAAAATTTGAATGAGTGTTGAAGAACACTGCTCTAGTTTATTTTGCATTAAAAATTAATGACTGTCAAAGAATACTTCCAAGTGAATTATTTTGGATCTTCAAATGAATCATCTGGCATTTTTCATTAGAAAATATTTCAGTAGTAATACTGTTATATTTGAAATTTGTATATCAAATATAAGAATGAATGACTTCACAATGCAAACACTCATTTTATCTAACAGTATAATTGAAATTTCCTGACATAACTGGCAATTAGTACAACACATGCCATCAAGCAACTGAGTTACCTTCCTATTTTATATACTTTTAAAACTTGGTATATTTTTGTATTGGGCATTTTTGAGTCATAACATTATTATTGCCATAATGCATTATGATTTCACTCACCTATTTTGATTGAAATACTTTCAGATGACTGGATTAGATTTAGATCGAGACAAAATTATGGAGGTAGCAAGCCTCATAACTGATTCTCATCTCAATATTATTGCTGAGGGTCCTGAAATCGTTATACATCAACCAGAAGATGTACTGAATAATATGAACGAGTGGTGTTTAAAACAACATGGAAAAGTATAAGTTAATACAAATTCATTTAATTTGTTCAAAAGTTTCAACTTTTTTCTTTCCTTTTTAGACTGGACTCACAGAGTCATGTCTGAAGTCTACTACAACTCTGGAGCAAGCTGAAAAGTTAGTGCTGCAATTTCTCACTCAACATGTAAATGAAAAAATTTCACCTCTGGCTGGAAACAGCGTTTATATGGACAGGATGTTTTTAATGAAGTATATGCCAAGAGTTCATGACTATTTGCATTATAGAATAATCGATGTTTCTGCTGTGAAGGAGATGTGCAGGCGATGGAATCCTAAACTCTACAGTCTTGTTCCTAAAAAGGAATACTCTCACAGGGCCCTAATGGATATTAGAGAAAGTGTGGAAGAATTGAAGTTTTACAAGGATAATTTTTTCAAGATAAACTGACCAACTCTATTTTTATCTATTGAAGTCATCTATAAAATGTTTAGGGCTGATGAAGATTCTTACGTTATACAATAGAAATAGAAAGGAACATGTTTTAGTTACTTTACTTTATAATAACTTGCCTTTCAAATGAATGTTTATTGATTTATTAATGGAAAAACCTAAGTTCCATTGACATATCAACAGCAAATATCACAAAAAGAGAAACATTGTCAGTTATTAACAAAAGATTTAAATGATAAATATGGGGGTTTTGAGAGTTTACTTTGTTGGAAAAACATCAATTTTATCAGAGTATTTTATAATCTGAGCATACATTTAATAGGTGAATATCCATTGTTTGTTAAATAGAATGTGGCCATATACATGGATAAATAAGAGTTGACAGCAATAACTTTGACAGTCGAAGTGACTGCAATTCTACTAAGCAACACTTTTTTACAAGATTTTTTTTGTGGGATGAAAAATCAGCATTGAATTCTGAGGTTTTTTTAGTAGAAATCACATTCACTGGGAAACTGTTTTAGTAGCTAAACACTTCCCAATTAAATATGAATGATGCTGAATTAGATCAGATGCACCTACAGGATTGTTGATAACAATACTGCTGCAGAAATCTGTTTAAGTTATCAAGAATAATATACTGACAGATATAATTAATTATACTGGAAAAACCTTTCAGGTTACATGCTGAACTCTGCAAACTGGTTCTCTAACTACTTTGTGATTATCGTTCGGGAGTTTGAAGTGCTAGAGGTCGAAATTAAAGAGCTTTCCCGACCGTGGTTCGTCCAGAACTCCATATCAAGAGACACGCCTATGTGGGGGGGATGCCGACAGCGCAGCCACTGTGTCTGCCAAAAGGGTCATGTAGGCTCTAATAGAATCCGGGACGGCGAATTCGTATATAGAGGACCTAATAGAAAACCGGTGGCGTTTGGGCCGGACGGTATCCTGGATGGAAAGCCCTCTCTTTCGCTTAGTCCGGGAGGAGAAACGGAGCTTGGGTCCTTTGAATGTATTCAATGAGTGAGACCATGCTAGCCCGACACACTATTGGCCTGTCAGCACCGACCCTATCAAACAGCGGTACCCACCGCAAAACCTCCGATTGCAGGAATTTGTCAACACCCAACTGGAGCAGATGTTGGAAATATCTCCAGTTTTCGACCTCAAACAGGTTTTATATAAACCCTGTTTTTTACAGGAGGCGAAAAATCACGAGCCTTTTCAGGAAAATCTGACGGATAAACATGGGCAGCGATGTGACAGCAGAAGGGTGAAAGAGTAACAATTCAACCTCAGAAAAACAAAGTCCCAACAGTTACTACCACAAACCACTTACTCTAAGTAGTTTGTGGTTACTACTCATCACAAGTTACTAGGTACTCAGATGAAAATCATATTTTGTTTGTGATGAAATTTTACATTCTCTTCTCTGCATAAACTGAAATTTTTTAGGTCAAATTTAATCAGAAGTGTAGAATTCATGCTTCTGTAAATTTTTAAAATAATTGACAAAATAGTATAAATACTTTTTTTTTCGTTATTGTCCAGGTCATATTGGTTAGGGAAGCTATGGATTATACTGTAGATGACCCCTCCCGATATAGAAGGCCCCGACACTCTGTCGAATGAGGACCCTATGTCCTCCGTTGAAAAATGAACAATTTTTTTTCATCCAACCCACCCCAGTCAGGTAGGGGTACACCGTGAAGGGCGGTACTGATGTCTGCGATCATACCATCAACATTCACAATCAGTTATGACCCGTTTGTCCTTTTGGCAAACATCAGTCCAAAGGGTAAGGGAGCCAGGCTCCAACCTGTTTGAAATCAAGACGACGTGCAGGTGGCCAAGTCATTGGTGTATAGAGACTATTATTACGGAACATGTCGTGTACCAATCTCAACAATTTCAAGAATTCCTCACTTATTCTGTGGCCGTTCTCTATGGCATATTGAATAAAACATGTAGATACTCTTCAAAATTTCTGTCTTTGATTAATTTACCACAGGAAGAAAATATTACAGTATTTCCTGTTGGGAGTTTGAATGCCATGTTAGGGTGGTTAATCCTGATATTCTTCAGTTTACTTCGGTAGCGCGTTGAATAAAAAGCTATACCACATGGAAGCTAGTTGTTCGGGAAACGTGCAGCGTCCGAAACTCGCAGCATTAAATATAAATAGAAAAACAATTGTTATGAAAGTTAATCATTCTTCAAGGATACAATATCCGCCCGAAATAAAAACTAAAGAGTATGTAAAGCAAAAATGCGCGAGTATTACCGGTGTCAATAGATCGACAATTTTTAGAATTCTTAAGTCGAAGCCGAAACGTGCGTCGAACAATGCAACACTTTGAGCGCGGTTCAACACGTAATTCAGATATTTAAATTTTGTCAACCGTGGAAACCTATTCTATTTGTTTACTTATCTGGTGACGTTTCGAAGAGTTTATCCATCTTCATTATCAAACCTATGATCAATTTTATATTATCAGTATCAATAATGATACTATCAAATTGATTTACATCAAAAGACAGATTATGACTACAAATTATAATGTTTTGATTTAAAAAGATTGGATAAATAAGAAAACGAATAGTCTTTAAAACGTCACCAGATGATACATATTCATGTTTATATGGAAAATTTCATGAATTCTAGTTACTGCCAAATTATTTTTTTTTTCAAAAAGCAAATTCATCAAATGCAGTAATTTTTTGCCCTTTCTACATTTACATTCATTTCAAAATTTAACATTCTGACTATTTTATAGATCTCTTTAGAAGGTAACAATCCTAAATGAAAAACTATTTCAATTTTTTTCAAGGACAAGACACAAGCACTACAGAAAAGTCATCAAGGCGCTCTCGGAGCGGTGCCTGTGCGAAAGCACCGATTCACATTGGATGTGAATCGCTGAAGATTGAATCCATTTGGAAAAACGTTCTCAGGAATATAAATTGTTCTTCTCAAAATAAAATATTTAAACAAAATTAGTTTTCATGATATTTCAATTATCTTCGCATCCTACAGAATATATCACTAGAAAATTTATATTAACACCCCCAGTCCGACGCCTATCAATACTATCTTTAACATGAGAAAAAACGGTCGGCCGCCTCTTTTGACATCCTATGTGTCACAAGTCACTATTTTAATGGCTCGTTAGCGACGTCCTCAAAATTCATAGCGGGTAGAAATATCTCCGTGACTTTGTGAATGAATTGCAGTGCCACTTAAGACGATTTTGTTGCTTTCTTTGATGTACCGGAATGTTTGCATTCTTGAAATTCTTTCACTCTCAGACAATACCGACTGGACTATATGCATATAAATACCATGATGTAATCAGTAGGCCGGTGCTGGGCCCACAAACCACTTAGAGCCGGGACATTTCCCGGTACGCCCTGCAGCTTGAGAATTTTGGCGCCAATTGAAAATTTGTGTTTGCACCAATCAGAAAACTTTTGAAACGTCGGATCATCAGATGACGGGACCACAGTATAGTAATGGGGCTGTGGAATACATCATGAATCGAAATCATTCTAGCGAGAAAAAATGGCTTTTGGTAGTTGGCAGCAGTCATATTAGTATTGACATATTTCAGCTGTCAAAGGCGTTGATTTTCAACAGAGGAAACGGTTTTCGGTCATGCGCATAGAATATTTTCGTTATACATTACATACTGGTATTTCCGGAACGTTTGTTGATTTCGTGGAAGTTTATGAAGCAAGTTTGTGCGGGTTTAGTTTACGCGTGATTATTTTTCTCAAAAATTATTTCTAGTCAAAATGTCAGCAACAGTAGAAAGAAGCACATGTGAGTATATTCACGTTAGTTCAAATGTATACTAGTGTGCTATATTTAGTAATGAAGTACTGCTATTGATACAATTTACTCATGATAACTTCTATAGTTATGTTACTAAATATCACACATATTAATTGTTTGTATCAGGGATTAGATAAGTCAGTTTAATATTTTATATTCGAAACTTTCATACATTGTTTTTTCTGTAAATATATCATGTTGACATCTAAAATTTTTGAAATTTTGTTATCATATGTTTCAGCCTCATGGAGAAAAAGATCCCGGGAAAACGATCAGTCTTCCCAAATAGATAGGAAAAGACCAAGATATTATTACTATCGACTGGAAAGTGAAAGTTCGAAAGCTTCTGAGGAAGATACTGAAAGTGTATATAGTTTGCAAGACAGAGAAACTGGTAGGCTACTGCATACGCTCTTAGTGTGTGGCACCTACTTAATGAATTATTTTTAGACGTAGTGAGAGATACATCCGATACTGATTCAAAATCGGAAAGCAGTGATCAACAGGAGTTCGAACTCATCGAATATGAAGTGGCCAGCTTGTCTGGAAGCGATGACGGATGTCAAGAAAATTCGTCAAGTGGCTCTGATGTAAGTACTTTCAAATTTGTCTCTGATTTGTTGTGCCACCTGATTTAGTCTCATTATGCGTAACATTTAAAATTCAGTAGTGAAATCCTAGTCACTTATGCACTTATGTTATAATAGTTGTCTCAAATTATTCATTGAGAACAATATTCAGCAATGATGTTTACTAAATGCATGTTATTTTTTCATTGATTTGTATTATATGTAAATGATTTTATTTTACTAGGACCATCTAATGATTGCTGCAGCTGTGGAAGTTTTATGCGACTCTTCATTGGAAAGATGGGTTACAGATTGTGAGGACTCGGATAACAGTTCTTTAGATGGTTCAGCTATTTCTCGATCAGACTTTTCAAGATGTGTTCAGTGCAAGTCGGAAAATGACAACCCTCTCTACAGATATTGTGAAAAATGCTTCCAGGTATCTATCTGTTTCAAAATCGCTTTAGATTTGTATGAGGTACCAGCTGACAGGTTTTTCTTTGGTAATCTCACAAGTTTTTTATAATAATGTGTCGCTATCATACTTTTTTGAAACAATGCAATATAAAGATATAAAATCTAAGTTGAAAGTAGGTAAGATAATATGGAGAATATAAAAATATAATTTATATTACTCATAAAAATAGTATTGGTGTCTAAAGAATTATTTCACTCACATATTGACATATTTTCAAATATTTATATAAATAAATCTAGTGAGTATGGTAAAATTTGTGAGATTTCAAGATACTTTTCTGTATAAAATAAACATACATATGTTTTACTTGGGGAACACCTCCCAGACCCAATAATTGAAATTAACATTTCTTTAAAATAATTTTTCATTGATCTGACCTTTTTTGTTATTTAAAAAAGAAACAATTAAAAATTAATGATGTCATAATAATATGATCAATTTTATGGTTTAGTTCTCTGAATTTCATAAATTGTGACCAGTGACTATGCTCATTGTGTATTTACTATTCACCCCAACCAACTATTAGTCACCCTTTTGTTCATTGTGATGTCAATAACCCACACTATCTCCATTATTAGTCATCAATGTACCTCCTTTCCATTCATGTTCAGACAAGTTAGTATCTGTTTTGGTGACTGTTTGATTGCCTACTATTTGTGATACAATTCTATAATTTATTATTCATGATCTAGTTGATGTGAATATAATACACAGGGTGGCAATTTTTCAATGCTCACTATTTATATCTTAACTGCGAATGGATTTGAAGGTGCTCTTATATTTGATATAAGAAAATCATGCCATAAAATTTTCAAAATTTCAAACATTTAATAAACATTTGCATAATTTCAGTCTACAGACAGATATTTATACTTTCATAAAGTGATTGAGCCAAATAGTTGACATGACCAAGATGGTTCAGATTATTTAATCCTATGAAACGACCGGATATACAAACTTCACCTTTGATTGCTATTAGTTTTATAATAATTACATGGTTCCTTCTAGAATTTTCATTAACCATTATTACATTTCCTGTTGATGTTTTCTAATGCAAAATAATAAAAGGTGAAATTGGAACCTCTGGAAAAGAATAAATCCAAAACAAGTATTTTTCCCAATCACCAAAAATGCAATACTCTTCTCGACGCGCGTTTTGGCATCCAAGTTTGCGTCTTCAGGAGTTTTCTCCATCTCCATGACTATTAATTACGTCATTTATTTTCGTTCCATATGGGCAGGATCCCAATGAACAAAAAAGTAACTGGTTCAATTATTATATAAACATATATCAGTTGCTGAACACATCAGTGAATTCAGAACAAGACTAATACTATACTAATACTATACTTAAACTATACTTCACTATGTGGATATTGGATTTTCTATATTGTTTTCATGTAGGTACAATTCTAATAAGTAACTGATGTAAGCAGTGCAATATTTCGTAGACTATCCTGTTCAGGTACGTTCTTAAATTTTAAAATCTGGTCAATTAAGGATTCAAGTCTACAACGCCTTCGTCCATAGAAAGTTCAACTACATCAAAAACTGAATGAGGATGATCCTGATCGTAGATTAGAATTTTGTGAAATATTGATAAATAGGTGTCAACGGAATTCGATGTTTCCCAGAAATATTATTTTTTCCAATGAGGCAACTTTACCTTACATGGAACAGTGAACAAACAAAATTGTTATGGAGTAGGCAAAATCTGCACTGGATGAGAAAAGGTCACATGAAGTATCCTATTAAAATGAACGTTTTAGCTGGCATAGTGAATAACACAATAATTGGACCATATTTTTTGAGGGGATAGTAACTGGGGCCAGTTACTTGGATTTTTTACAGAATGTTTCAATACCTGATTTACGAAGCTTTCCTGGTCGTGTTAACACTGCAGACATTAATGGAAATATATGTTTTCAACAGGACGGGGATGGATCGGTAGATGTGGTAAAATTGTGATCTGACTCCACTTGATTTTTTTCTGTGGGATTATTAAAGAATAAAAAATGTACAAGAGGAAACCAACTAATATTGATGACTTAAAACACCGCAACAGGCAGGAAAGCAATCAATTCACCGCAGTTATATTGCAAAACGTCGAAGAATTTCAACACCGTCTATTTTTTTGTCAGGAGATGAAAGGTTTCCATTTTGAGCATATGCTTTGGACTGTTATATTTCAAATATTGTTGAAAACTTTAAACTTTATTTCATTCCATGGTATCATTAATAAACTGTACAAATTGAACAATTTATTATTTTTGTTATACCGTCTAATTATAAAAAAAATACCATATTGCTGTAAAGAGAATTGAAAACCCTTTTAGACGAGGTATCATATGCTATCCTTTTCCATTTTAAACTTTCATAGGGGTAGCTATAACCCCTAGAGGGTTGATGGGGCAGCTGCATGATTTTATTGAAAAAGTGTATTTTCAAATAAAAAATTAACCTGTTTCAGGATTTATCATTTGCATTCATAATTACGTAGAATATTAATTTATCCAATACTTCAGGACCGCACTGTATAAAGGATCTAAGTGGCTGCAATTTGAAGTCCAGAAAAAACATTCAGGTAGCCATGTCTTGAAAAAAGTGTCTCAGAAAAAGATTCAACCTTTCTCAGAGAGAAAGCTGTAAAAAATATTCGTAGAGAAAAAAATATCAACACTTACAGGTCTCTATATTTATGAATCTGTGGTATTTGTCAAAGAAAATATATATCTCTTTGCGACTCATGGTAGGAACCATACCCACAACACATGAAACAAAAATAACCTTTTGAATATAAAGACAAGTTTGACCTATATTCAAAAAAATATACCTTTTTCAATCGTTAATATTTATAACAAGGTACCTGAATCTCTCAGAACTTTGTCTTCTATGATCATGAAGAATAAATTGAAAACTTTGCTTCTCTCCAAAGCTTATTATTTGCTGGAAAAATTCTTCAATGATAATTTAAACTGATGTTGTTTGCGTTGAATATTTCATGTCGTATCATTCAGCATTGTGATGTAGTTTAGTCTCTTTTGAACCCTATATATAGATGTATATGTTGTGTTCTGTATCTAATATAATAATATTACATTAGGTATATTGACTGTGATAACCTTGTTATACATCTGTGGCCATTTATATTCTTAACCAATATTAATGATATTGCCTCATGATTTTCTACTACTTTTGTAATGTTTACTGTAATTGACATGTTCTACGCCTGAAAAGGTTTTTTATTACAAAGAACTAATAAAGGATATCTATATCTATATATAATAATTAGAGGTAATAAAGAAACAGGTAGTTTAGCATAGGAACAATGACAGGTAGTAGTTAGGTAATTAGGCCACGCGCCTCGAGAGACAGTAATTATGTTCTGGTGTTGTGTTTTCAATAGAAAATGAAAATGGTTTTTGAAAACAGTATTATTAACAGATGAGTCATAATTTTCTTTACATAGGAAACCATCCATTGTTCGATATTGGTCTTTTGAAAATAAGCATCTTAGTATTTCTGTGAGTACTCAGTACTCACAAAAAGTCAATGTTTGGACAGGAATGTTATAACTATATATTAAAGCTCCCTTCTTTATCGATGGTAACCTAAATTCTGTTAAATACCTACAGCTACTACAAAATAAATTATTCCAATAGTTCATCTACTTTCTATTTTGGGGACATTTGGTTTCAACAAGATGGTTGTTCAAGTCACCATGCACGACCAATGACACAATTTCTTTTAAATATGTTTCTTGGTCGATTGATATCTACACGTTGTATAATTAAGTGGCCTCCCAGATCACCAGACCTATCTCCGAGTGATTTCTTTCTTTGGGGGGTATCTGAAAAAATGTAGTGATCGGCATGGATTTCAGATCACATCACAAATAAATCAACAAATATAATGTTGACTAATGTTTAAACAATAATTCATCAATTTGAATTTGTTATAAAGGGTAATTGCATTGTATAAGAGTGCTTCATTTCATTTCAATTCATGAATTAGTATCATGCACTGAACAATATCTTTATCATTTTTTATCAACATTATGTATAGTAATATATAATCCTGTCAGCTGGATTCATGGCAATATATTAAAAAATATTCATAAGCAAATTAATGTATTGCTACAATCATGCAAATCTATTGACGAAGTAACAATTAGTTTTAAATAGTAAGGTGTTAGAAAGTTTTGTGTTGTGTGTAAAAGACTGTATTTTTAAAGAACTTATGGTGGTGCTCTGATTTTTAATTGATTGAAAAAAGTTGCGGGAATGAATTTATCATGTACTGCATATTTTGAAGATTGTAGAAAGTCTGCGATTTTTTAATATTTGTGATTGTTTATTTTACGAGCAACAAAGCAGATCTGTATTTAGTTGTGTATAAGAAGATTGTAGTTATGCTGTGTTCAGGTAAACACTTTTGGTAAGACTATTTTTCATATATTTACTCTATGATTACTTTCTCTAGCTTATATTTCAAATATTTTTGTTTGGACCTTACATATCTCAGAAGGACAGTATGAAATAAACAGTACACACAAACTGTACTCTATAAAGAGTAGGCCAGTTTAGTATGATTGTCTTGACAATTCGTACCCTGCAAGGAAACCACTAGTTATTTAAATATAGTAGTAAAGTCAATCCACTATGAACTAATTTGTCTTGAAAAATATTCTTCAGAATTATACACTAGACTAAATTATTTCTTATGAAGAAAAATCTGGTCAATTAAGGATTCAAGTCTACAACGCCTTGGTACATAGCTGGATAGGGCAGCTCACACCCACATTTTATGGTGGATCAAAGAAGAAGGCCCTATGAAATCATTGAAAGTTTAAACTGGAACCTCTGATGTAGAATCAATCCAAAAACAAGCACTTTTTCCAGTAGCCAGAACTTCAATATGCTTCTTGAAGCGCATTTCATCAACTAAGTAAGCATCTTCAGAAGATAAAAACTCCTGAAGACGTCAAATTGGTGAAATATACGTGTGTCGAGAAGGGTATTGAAGTTCTGGTGATTGAAAAGATGTTTTTTTTTGGAATTTGACCAAAGTAGCATTTTACATTTGTTGAAGGATGTTGAATATCTAGGAGTGATACTAGATCCCAGGCTTTTCTGGAAGAATCATCTGAAAAGAGTAAAGTGAAAGCAGAGGTAGCACATATCCTGGCCAGAAGCATTTATAACGTATTCCAAAAACACTTTATTGTGAGATTTTCACTAAATTGTTTTAGAAAAACGCAACACGTGTTTCGCCATACAATGGCTTCATCTGGCGTGTCTTTCAAGAAGCATTTATGATCAGAAAAATTATTACTGGCTTTAACCATACATAATGTATTGACTGTAAACACAATGGTGGTTGAATCCATGATAACATAATATGTACATATTATGTATCTATGGTCTAGCGATCAATGATGAAAAAAATGATTGCCATTACCTGACCAAGCAGGGTGCAAATTTGCTCCATAGGAAAGCAATGAGCAATGAATGAACGCAGCAGCATTGGTGACATTTTGGAAGCTATTCTCTTTACTTATTGTAATTACGGGAGAGGCAAGAGTGAGCCAATAAACACTGGTAAATTCAGAGTTACCAGGAAAATAAAATTTTCGGGCAGTAGCTGGACTTCAGTATGAGGTGATGAATTTACATTACAGATCATACCATCATTCTTTCAGGTTGAAGGGTATAGTCTTGCATAATGCAAACAGTGGTGGAGCTGGCAAACCGAAATAGATTGACTCTATAAGGGGTGGCAGGTCACTCTGATATACTGAAATACTTTTACTTTTACTTTTTACTCCTACAAACACAATATTGAATTGTAATTAAAGGTAAGAGAGATAAAACTACAATAACAAAATATTAGGCACACATCGTCATCAACAGGTCCTGAAGCAACTGTGAGTTTACCAAAATCTTTGATATGAGACCCTATCAGGAAATGGATCAATAACAGGCGGCAGTGAAGTGAATCACAATATGGATTTAGGAAAAAAATCACAACTCTGGCTGCTTACAACACGAAGAATGATATAACAGAGGGCCCCGATTAGTGCAAACACACTTCTTCGAATATAGGATTTCATGTTCTCAGTCACAATTAGACTGAACAAAATCCGGAATAATTTTTAGCAACTAAAATCCTCCAAACCCAGCTCATATATTGTTTAGGATAAATCAGTGAAAACATTGGAATTCAAAATCAGAACATTCATCAAAAAGTTTCTGTTTGAGAAATGTTTCTACGGTGCAACGGAATATTTGAACCAATAAAGTTCATTGAAATACCCAAGTATGGTATGGTTTATCGGTAGATGATATTTGGTCGCCCGTAATTATTTCAGATGATTTCAATATGTTATTTATATGTCTTCTTTTCATGCGTTTAACATTTCGTTGTGACTGTAATATTTTCATCTACTGTGACCTGCCACTAATGTATTTGTACATAACATTGTTGGAATAAAACTTTATACATAAAGTGTTCTGTAAATATATAAACTCATGAGTAGCATTGAGTTTAGTCTGGGATATTTGTGAAAATCTGACAAAAACTCAAGATTCACAATCTACGAAAAAGCTGATGAATGTGCTGGTCACGGATCAACTCCCTGAAACAGCTGTAAAGGTGCCTTTATCTATGATATTGCACCAGAACAGGAAATGGGTCAAAAAAACCAATTAAGTACTAAGAAAATATATATTGGAAAGCACACTAGAAAACCTTTTAAAGGCACATCTAAAAAAGAAACAGGACGAACTGCTTCAACTTGAAATAATTACAAGTCTTCTCACCGGAAACTGTCCGTTTGGAGAAGATCTGAACAAAATAGGCTCTATAAAAGAGATCCTAACTGTATACTGCAACAAAGAGACTGAGACAGCTCGTCGTTAGATCACATAAGAAAAGCAATTTATTACAACTCTGAAGCATTTGACAGAAGCATGTGACAAACATCCTATGAGGGACCTGTACAAGATTGTTGAAATGGATGTCATGAAAAGATATGAGGAAAAACACAATAAGCCTATGAGGCAGCAGCAAAAAAATCCTTTTTGATATGTTTCACTGTAGATATTGTAATTCCAGCATAATTTGTTTTTTTTATTGATTAGTGCACCTCTCTAGGGTACTTACTCTAAATTTCTTGCTTTTCACTTTTTTTTGAGTGTTGAAACATTTATTGGAATGAACTGGAGTGAGTTTTCAACGCTTTTTTTAATCAAGATTATTGTTTGTAGATCCTTGAAACGAATATAAAACTGCTACAATTTTCGAAACAAAAAAATGTTGGTCAGATCACAATATTATTTTTTGTCCAAGAAGTACTAACCATGATATCTTTATGTAAATTTTGTCCGACCTGGATATCTTGTTCTATATATGTTTTAAAGCTACTAAAGAACTAAAGCTAGTTTTGTAAAATTTTGACATTTTGAAAATGTTGAAATGTTATGAAAAACATTTATAATAATATACATATTGATATTTTTGAGAAATGTATTGTCCAACATTTTTGTTGTAATTCTGCTGTATCTGATTCTGAATATGATGGATAGCATGGATGAGAGTTGGTGTATTGCAGCTATGAGCAGACTTTAGGTTAAGGCCGCATTGTTCGATGTGTGCCGTAACGTTTAGAGCAAGTATTCAGTTGTTTTGTTTTATGGTTTAGCAGAGCTGCAGACAATGCAAGATGCGCAAGACGTACAAATGTTTCCCGTTATGCATCTCATGTCATAAGGTGCGTTTTTCCAAATTTTATGTAAAGTATGGTTCAAGATATTTTGCCTCATTTATTACCTGTTTTGGAAAGTTTGAGTTTTTGTTAGCGAAGATAGCCTATTTTCTTATTATAATGGTACAGAATTGACGAGATTCATCATAGAGAAATTCAGAGTTTTACTGACGAACATCTCGCAACAAGTAGTAAGTGAAGACAAAATGTATTGAAACGTTCTATACATGTTTTTTCAAAAAAAATTTTGGTGTGTTTTTTGTACAATTTGTCCAAATTTGTGTTGAATTGAAAATATCTCCAGGATGAGTATTTATTATTCATACGTAATTTTCATCATCATATATATCATATTAAATCATGACCAAGTACATGCTAGCAAAAAATTGGTTTGGTTTATACAAGATCAAGCATGCAAATGAATATTACACATTCTGGAAGTGATTTCTATTCTCAATGCTGGACAAATGTCCAGCATTTATCATAAAGTGAAAATTTTCAAAAATATATTGATTACTCTTACGAGGTCTGTTGAAAAAATTAGGTGAATTTTCATTTTTCTCAAAAATATTAATTTATTCATCAATTCCTATTCATCGATATACTTGTGTCTGCGTTTTTTCCAATCCTTGAAGCAGTTCTGACATGCACTTTTTGATATGTCCTTGAGTTCTCTCAGCGATTCTGTTTTTATATCCTTGATTTTCGCAAAACGCCATCCTTTCATGGGTCTCTTCAACCTTGGGAACAGGAAAAAGTCGCAAGGGACCAAATCCGGTGAATACTGTGGTTGAGGCATGATTACGATGTTGTTTTTGTTAAAAAAATTACGAACAAGAAATGACGGGTATGTCAACATCCTCAGCAACTTCTCTGATCTTATGATGTACTGTTTGGAACCTTTGGTGTAGTAATGAATATTACTGGAGTTTTTTCCCAACAACAAATCGTCTTCAAGAGGAAGGTAAAACTGGAAACTTCGCGAAACTAAAGCTATTTATGCTATACAGATATATCATACAGGTAAACCATACAGGTATACCACCCTAAATTAAAATTTTCACTTGCCATTAGCTAGATTCAAAGTAACATCATGTGGACCAGAATACATAGGTCCAAAGATATATAATCACCTTCCAGATTATTTAAAAACCTTGAATAGTTTTTCTCTGTTCAAAAAATCATTAAAAAAATATTTATTAGAAAAATGTTTTTATGCTTGCTTTGCAGGAATTCTTTGAATAACGCTTAGTCATCTTAGTTTTAGAGCATGAGCCTGTCTTCCTCTTTTGTTTCCTTTTTTTAAATTTGTATTATATTGACACTTCCTACCCAATTTTATTGTCCTACTGGAAATAAAGAATCATTATTATTATATACATTGGACACATTATAAATATATTTAGATAGGCAATATTGTGAAATTAATTTTTATATAGCTATATTTTAAACATTACATAAGGACATATTGTAAAATAATAGATAAGGCTAATTGTAAAATTAATTTAGGGTGGTATACCTATATGGTTTACCTGTATGATATATCTGTATAGCATAAATAGCTTTAGTTTCGCGAAGTTTCCAGTTTTATCTTCCTCTTGAAGACGATCACTTGGTGATCGAAACACGTGTCGAGGTGTTAAAAATAACGATTTGATGTTGGGAAAAAAATCCAGTAATATTAACTTCTCTGATAGTGATTCGACGATTCTCCATAACAATTTTCTTCATCATCGATTGTTGATGTGACTCAGAGTAAAACCACCGTATGCCAGTGTCAACATTTCAAGATTTTTTAAGCACCTAATTTACCTTATTTTCGGAATAGACCTCGTAAATGTAAAAGTCAAAATTCTGAGATTTTGAAAGATGGTTTGTTCTTCTATTAATTCCTAGTGAATTCCTTATCATTTTATTCTAAAGTATCATTCTGAAACAAGTACAGATTCCACATGCCAAAATTACATAAGAGTTAATAATATGAGAGTGTGCATAATAGTAAGTAATTAATAGTGATTTGTTTAGTGTAAATGCTGGACGCAGTAAGATAATTAATTTGTTCAGATCATATTTCCATGCTTTTTTCATTTGAGATTTTCCGTCATTGTCAAATCCAAAAATCTTATTACACCTTGTTGTTGATTTCATTATTGTCAGAAAACTCAGGAATAGCTAGTTCGATTTAAAAAAATAAGACCTCCTTTCTATTTGAAAAAAAAAATTATAACACCCTTTCAAAACTATATTTATTCTGATGCATCATGTCAGTCTATTAATTAGTTTCTAGAAGGTGTATGGTAAATTAAATTAAAAAAAATGTATTCCAACTTGTATTTGAAAGCCTGTATTTGAGGATGTATTAAACTAGGCTGGTGTCTATTGAAGGAACATATAGAATGGAGTGCAACGAGTCTTTTGAATGAATGAAAAATAGATCTTCCGAAAATATTTTTATATTGTGATAATTCAATACATTTTTATGAGAAGGTTTCTATTTAAAGTGCAACTTTGCATAGTATATAACATTATTTAATAGTGTTTCTAAATTTTGTCCGACCTGGATATCTTGTTCTATATATGTTTTAAAGCTACTAAAGAACTAAAGCTAGTTTTGTAAAATTTTGACATTTTAACTTGAAATGTTATGAGAAACATTTATAATAATATACATATTGATATTTTTGAGAAATGTATTGTCCAACATTTTTGTTGTAATTCTGCTGTATCTGATTCTGAATATGATGGATAGCATGGATGAGAGTTGGTGTATTGCAGCTATGAGCAGACTTTAGGTTAAGGCCGCATTGTTCGATGTGTGCCGTAACGTTTAGAGCAAGTATTCAGTTGTTTTGTTTTATGGTTTAGCAGAGCTGCAGACAATGCAAGATGCGCAAGACGTACAAATGTTTCCCGTTATGCATCTCATGTCACGAATGTTGATCTAAAGCGCAAGAGGCAGGCATCTGAGAGTAGTTTGTCTGATTTCGAAACTTCAAAATCAAAACGTTTCAAAGAGCAACCAATTTCACTTAGTCAAACTTCAGATTTGGGTTCCGAAATTAGCACAACTTCATTCAGCTCCTCCACTACCGAAAAAAGTTCGGAAAATTCCGAGCTATGCATCTTTTGTAATAATGCCCCCAAAGATAGTATATTTCTTCATACAAATATTGCACATCAATGCTGTTGTTATAAATGCGCGAAACGTACCCTCCACACGATAAAAAGGTGTCCTATCTGTAACCGGTCTGTAAATAAGGTAGTTAGAATATTCACTTCGTAATAGAAATAGTAAAGATTTAATATATATATATTTTTTGAAGATATAATAGGTGTACAGAAGAAATTTATTTAATTTATTCAAATTTAGTGTGAATTCATCACACTATATGCGACTGATGATACATAAATTTTTATTTTTACTGCTTGTAGTGTAATAATATAATCAAATTATTGTTTTCAAAACCATTGCTGCCACTTTTAAAACCACTCTAACCATATCCTATGGAGATCAACGGTTTTTCATAAAAGAAATACATTATTGAGATGGTAATGATGCAAAAATACAGCATTATTAATAACACTGGTTAAATTACTGGAAAGTCTAAATTACAAAAAGAAACATTTGATGTATAAACTTATAGCCTTTATGGATATCTACAAGGCTTTTCATAAAATGTTACAAAGTTCAACCTTTTGTGTTTGAACTTCAAGGAAATATTCAAATTCAAGAATCCCTACAAGAGGAGTAATGAAACTCTCTCAAATATACACAAAGCATCCATCTAACTTTTGAATGAATGTTTTTTTAAGAGTCATTTTCAGTGTGTTCGGCAATCGGCCTTGATTGAGAGTGAATCCTAGTCATGTTTTATTTTGGTTGACCTATCAATTCAGAATAGAGAATCTTAAGGATCTCTAGCTTGAATAAACTTTTTTTTCAAGTTTTATTTTAGTCGTTAAGTGTTCAAAATTTCTCGACTCATTTGAAAGTTTGATGGTATAAGGAGTTTGTTTTCCCTGTGTGTTATCTGTGTTAGTTGATGAGTTGGATTGGATCAGTTTGCAGATTTGATGTTTTTCTTCTTTTATCAGTCAGAGTTTAAAGTTAATGACATTCTGAACATCGCTCTTCAGAAATTTAAGAGTGATTATAAATTTATCAGTTTTTATTAAATATTTTACCACAGTTTCAAAGTCATAGTGTTCAAATAAGATTGAGTACAAAGAAAACGTTCTATCATCTGTTATATGAATATGTAAGATTGGAAAAGTGGTATTCAGACATATATGAAGAAAACTCTTTATTCAAAAAATATGAAGCAACGGAACTAAAACTCAATTCAGTATATGTCAGAATACTACTAATCCAATCATTCATATAATTAATGGTTCATTGAATATTTCAAGCGGTGATTTATTTTTTTTTCAAAATTCTTAATTATCTTGATCAATTTCCGGAAGATCTTCGCAAAGAATTACTTTCGGTTTAATACTCCCTTAGATATCGTGATCTTTTTTCACGAAAAATAAAATATCTCGCAAAGTTTTGACAATTTTAAGATTACTCAGTATGACTTTAGTGGAGTAGTTAAGGCACCACTTTATCAACAGTCTTGTAGTTGTACATGAGTTTGCAAAGAAGCAGGAGACCCACTGTCCATTTTGAATCTTTGGAAAGTTAGTACTCACTGAGGAAATCTGGATGGTCCTATAATAGGTCCCACATATTCCACAGAAATTGCAAACAGTTAGTTGATTATATTGTTCATGAGAGCTTAGCGATCAAAAAGACTGAACCAAAGAAATTATATTTTACTGTATGTAAGTTTGATTATGAATGTTTTATGTGAATTTTGAAATCAGTTCTAAAAAGCTCTTGTTTCACACTCTTAAATTTTTGAAAAGCTTTTCTCGATTTTGAGGATCTTAAATAATGGTATCGAGGTATATTGGGGTATTTAAACTACAATAACACAACGAAGCTAAATCTTATTGAAGAGGAGATTTTTTATGTAAGAGTTTAAAACTCGAATTTATACTTTACAAATAATGTTACTTCATGAAAACTATATTTATTACTCATGTTATGATTGAACATATATTCAATTAAAATTTGAAGTAGTTTTTCTAATATCCTTAGAAACAAT